GATGACGGCGTCCTCGCGTCGGAAGAAAAAGGTTTTGTAACGAATTCGGCATGCGCGCGCGGCCGACGCGCGAGAATGGCCCGCATGGTATTATTTGACACGGGCCGTGCCCCCCCCCACCACGCGCGCAAGGGCGTGCGAATGACCTCTGCGTGCGGCGCCAGAGGCCTGTTTGGCAGAATCCCATGACAATGGACAGCCCAATGGTTATCTTCAGAATTCGCAAGAGCGCGAACGCACGTGAGTTTTTTTTTGTTTTTGCTGTTGTTGTTTTGTGGTTCTGTTGTTGTTTGTGTGAAATATTATACCACACGCACATATATATATATATGTATAAAACTGACGTTGCAAAACCATGTGCTTTTATTGTTTTCTTTTGGGTAGTCGGTTTTGATCTCCTTACGAAACAGGTTTCTGACGGACTTCGACATGCGCGCGACGACGCGCGCGCTTACATTTCGTCGTATTCTTTGAAAATGCTTCTCGCGGCGGCACGCGCGCACGGGCGTTCGAGCGATTCCGATATTCGCGCGCGCGAAGCCCATGTGGTAGCAAGTTTTTGTATATATACATGTATGTATGTATGTATATATATACACATATAGACACACGTGTTGCGATACCATTTTTTATATGTTTTTTTTTGTTTTGACACTCGGCTTTGACATCTTTACGACAACGACGGTTTTTGAATGTTTTCGACATGCGCGCGCGAGAACGCGCGCGTGTGCACTTCGTCCCCTTTTTTGCAAGGGATTTTTGAAACTGATGATTTTTGGGGAAAAAAAAAACGAATGCACGCGGATATTTTTTTTGCAGGGGATGGCGGGGGGGTGGTACCGGCCCCCTAGGATGGACGATGGGGCAGAATCGTATGTAAATTGGACATCCCAAAAGGGTGCCGATAACTCTGGCTTCAGGAGGGTGGTGGAATTCATTCTCTTTTCAGGTTGGACGGCAAGGCCAATGACGGCGCCGATGCTGATCACGCCGGCGACGATGACGGCGTCCTCGCGTCGGTGATGATTTTTTTAAATGAATTCGACATGCGCGCGCAGCCGACGCGCGAGAGTGGCCCGCATGGTATTATTTGACACGGACCGTGCCCCCCCCCCAGCACGCGCGCAAGGGCGTCCGAATGATTTCGGCATGCGGCGCGAGGTGCCCGCTCTGTACAATTGAATGAACAGGTTGAAGAACTTATGTGTTGCTACGAGTACAGCGCGGGCGCATTTTTGTCCTTGAAGCTGGCACTGCAAAGCCATGCAAGTTTTTTTGTCTCGATTGTTGTTGGTGAGCTCGCTTTTGAAATCCTGACGACATGTACGGTCTTCGAAAGATTTCGGCGCAACCTATGTGGTGCAAGTGATTTACACATCCCACGCTCTTGCAAACATCCCACCCACCCACCCGCAATGTGGTTTGCAAAACCCATGCGGTGGTGATTGCGATGCGTGCTTGGCGTTAGCTGGTACATCTCTGCGACCGCGCCAACCCTAGCACGCGCGCGCACGGCCAGCTACTTTGGCGCCCCGCGGTGGCGCTGACCGCTGGGCGCATCCCAGCGGGCACGTCAATGCGAGTCGGCGACTTGGGCGGGCGCGGTATCATGGCAACGTCGGCAGTGGTAGACACGAGGATGATAATAGCGATGCTGGTGGCGATGATGACAATGACGACGGCAAGGCCAGTGACGGCGCCGATGCTGATCACGCCGGCGACGATGACGGCGCCCTCGCGAAGGTGATGCAACTTTTGGAAAGAATTCGACATGCGCGCGCAGCCGACGCGCGAGAGTGGCCCGCATGCTATTCTTTGACACGGGCCGTTCCCGAGCACGCGCGCAAAAGGCGTGCGAATGATGTCGGCATGCGGAGCCAGAGGCCCGTTTTGCAGGCTTCAGTGCACATGTTGAAAAAAAACCAAATGATTTCCTTAAGCATTCGTAAGAACGGGCACGCAAGCTTTTTTTGAAAACTAACGTTGCGAAACCTTGTGTTTGTGAGTGTGTTTTAAGCATTCGGTTTTGAAATCGTTGCGAAACCAATTTTTTATTAAACAAAACATGATATATATACACATACATCGGCATGCGCGCGCGACGACGCGCGCGTGTGCACTTCGCCACATTTTTTGCAAAGGCTTCTCGCGACGGCCCGCGCGCAAAGGCGTCCGAACGATTTCGACATGCGCGCGCGCGAGGCCCGTTTGGTAGTATTATATGAAAATGTTGAAGCACCTATGGTATTCTTAACAATTCGCAAGAGCGCGCGCGACAGTTTGTTGTTGAGAACCCATGTTGCGAAACCCTGTGCTTTTCATATGTCTTTTGGGCACTCGATTTTCAAATCCTTCCGACACCGAAGGTCTGTGAAATATTTCGACAGGCGTGCGCGCGACGACGCGCGCATGTGCACTTCGTCCCGTTTTTTGCAAGGGGTTCTTGGAAGCGGATAATTTCTTATAAACGAGTGTGCGCCGCTGTATTTGTTGCAGAGGATGGGTGTGGGTGGGTGGGTGGACGGTATGGGTTCATATATCGGATGGGCGATGGGGCAACACCGTATGTACATTGCAACACAACAAATGGACCGATAAAGCCGGGGGGGATGGGGGTGGTGGTGGATCCAATTTCTTTCTTACAGAAGAGAACTGATGCCGTGCAATGTCTATGTTGTTAAACTGATCGTTTCCAATGAATTTTAAACATCCCATGCTCTTGCAAACATCCCGCCCACCCACCCGCAACTTGGTTTGCAAAACCTCTTAAAACCGACTACGACGACATCGACGACAACGACTACGACGACACTGGCGACGACGACGACAACGACGACGACGACAACGACTACTACGACGTCTCCAACGACTTCGATGACGACGACAACGACGACGACGACGACGACACCGACGACGATACCGACGACGACGACGACGCGGACGACGACCACGATGACAACGCCGCCGACGACGACAACGACGACGCCGACGACGACGTCGACGACGCCGACGACGATGGCGACGACAACGCCGACGCCGACGACGACGACGACGATGACAACGCCGACGACGACGACGACGCCGACGAAGCCGACGACGACGACGATGACGACGACGACGTCGCCAACGAAGACGACGACGACGAGGGAGGAGGGAGGACGACGACGGCGACAACGACGACAACGACGAGGGAGGAGAGAGGCCGGCGACGACGCGAACGACGAAGAAGGAGGAAGGACGGCGACGCCGACGACAACGACGAGGGAGGAGGGACGACGACGACGACGACGGCGAAGAAATAGGGGGACGACGACGACACGCCGACGACGGACGACGACGACGAAGAGGGAGGAGGAGGAAGGACGACCACGGCGACAACGACGACGGAAACGACCGCGACGCGAAAGAGGACGACGACGACGAACACGAGGAAAGACAGAGGACGACGTAGGCGACGACGACGACGACGCGGGAGGAGGGAGGACGGCGACGACGACGACGACGACGACGACGCAAGAGCGCGCGCGCACGCTTTTGTTGAAAATCCGTGTTGCGAAACCTTGTGTTTTTTGTAGGTTTTTTGGGCACACGATGTTGAAATCCTTCCGAAGCCGATGGGTTTTGAAGGATTTCGGCGTCCGCGCGCGACGACGCGCGCGGTTGCACGTCGTCAAATTTTTTGCAAAGGATTCTCGCGACGGCACACGCGCAAGGGCGTTCGACAGATTTCGACATGCGCGCGCGCGAAGCCCGTTTGGTAGCATTTGGTGAAAATCTTGAACAACCGATGGTCTTCTTAAGATTTCGCAAGAGCTCGCGCGTAAGCTATTTTAGCAACTCGGTGTTGCGAAACCGTATGTTTTTGTATGTTTTTTGGAAACTCGATTGCGAAATCCTTCCGACACCGAAGGTTTTTGGATGATTTTGGCATGCGCGCGCGACGGCGCGCGCGTGTGCACTTCGTCCCATTTTTTTGCAAGGGATTCGTGGAAAAGTGCTATGTTAGAACAAAGGATGTCCCCGCGTATCGTTTTTTTTTGCAAGGGAACCTCAGGGGGTCGATACCGGCCCCCCTGGGATAATGTAAATTCATTTTTAGGATGGACATGTGGTCATAATCGTATATGATGTACATACCCGAAGAGGGTACGGATGACTCCGGGGGGGGGGGGGGAGAGTCTATTCTCTTTTTAGAACGGAGAGTCTAGGTGACTGTGTAATATATGCTGTGCGCTCTATGTGTTGCAATAGAAGCGGTTGTGCCATATATGTTGTGCAATGTGAGCGTTTTCTTGTTCGGCATTTCGACATTGGGCGGAAGGGGGGGAGGAAGGGTCTGGCTCTGGACCTCTGCTGAATGCGACTGTTTTCAACAATGCGTCCTATGGGGGACACTCCACCTGCTCGAAACAGGCGCCAAAAAACAGCCAAGATCTACTCCATCGGGGGGGGGGAGGGGGGGTGCGAGGGCCCGCGCCGATCGGCAAAACCATGAATAAGAAAACGATCACAGTGAATGTGGCGCAATCTAGGTTGTGGCATATACGTGGAACAGACTTTTTTGTGAGCGACCAATAGGAGCGCCGCAGACGTTACTCTTGTGTAATCTTTGTGGTGCGATCCAACGGAACCGACGGGCGGCAATGAGGCGGCGGATCTGCGTACCGTTTGTTGCATAGTCAGATCCTTAAAGGGACGGACCAGGCCATCCGACTCGGAGACATCGAACAAACTGAAGCTGCACCCATCCCGCCCAACCTCCCTAACACCCGAGGTGTGATCTATGATATTGTACCTCAGTTTGGAGGAGGTTTTTGGTCAGGGGGGTAGGAGCAGGAGATGGGAGCGGACAGCGATGAGGCCAACGAATCGGGGAAAAGAGCCACACCGCGAAAATCGGCAACGGCCCAGGGCACAGGCAAGAACAAAGCAAATCAAAGGGGCGTAAGGTCGGGCAGTTATAACGTGCAGTTTGGAGGAGGGAAATTGTGCTATCGTGCCTTCGCGAGACTGATCTCGGTGCCGTCGGGGAGCTTCACAGTCTCGGCGTCGGCTGCCATTGCTGCGGTGGGCCCTGAATGCATGGCCGCACCCTTCCACCTGTCCTCCCCGCCCTCCTCTTCCTCCTCCTCCTCCTCCTCCTCCTCCTCCTCCTCGCCTCTTCGCTCCTCGTCCTTCGCCCTCACCCTCGTCGCCTACTCCCTCCTCCCTCGTCGTCCCTCATGCTCCTCCCTCCTCCCTTCCTCCAGTCTCTCGGCCCTCCTTTCTCCTCTTCCTCCTGCAACTCCTCGCTCCTCCCTCCTCAACCACATCCGCTCTCTCGCCATCCCTTCTCTTCGAAAGGAAAATGGGGAGGGGAAAGAAGCGGTTGCCACCACCGGGCTCGTGGTGCGCTGAGTGGCCCCTACACGCATCGTCCGTACGGTAGGCGCAGACGATCAGAAATCTTGCCATAAGAAATCTCTGAGGATACGGCCTTCGTCGACTCTGCGCTCACCTACGGTGCCCCAAGGCTCTGCGGACCCGTCGGGAGACACGACGCTCTCGTGGGGCAGCCGTCGGCAGGTCAGTTTCTTGCTTCGTGTGCCTACTGCCGTAGAAGAAAACAACGCCATGAACATAAACTTTTGGCGCGGAGCCCCCACAGCTTATGTTTATGACGTTCTTTCTTCTTCGATGTAGGTCCCCCCCCCCCGTGGGGCTCTCCGAACGCCACGAAACGCCCGCGCCCCGGCGGGCACACCGCCCGCGCCGAGGCGGCACGAGCACCTCCAGCACCTTCTTGCTCGCGCCGGCCGCGCCTCTTCGATCGGCGTGCCCTGGCCCGGCCTCGCCCCGCCCCTCCCCCGACACGGAGCAGCGCTTGCCCGTGATCCCCATGCGCGCTGGCACTGCCTTGGCCACACCGCCAGCCTGCAGCCGTCGTGCTGCCACGAGGAGCGCACGCTGAGGAACGAGGGAGCTATCACTCTCGCCCCGGCGAGCCCCGGCCGCGAAGAGGCTCCACAGCCTAGGACCTAGATCTGGGGAGGAGGAGGAGGAGGAGAATTCGTAGCCCCCCCGAGCCCGAAGTGGTCCTGATTTCAGCGCCTCGACTGTACCCACAAGGTGGGCTCACGTGCAGTCACCCTCGGGCGTCGCGGGGCCCCTCCCCACCTGGGGTGGAGAGTGGGGCCGGTGGGGCGGAGGTACCCGGGCCCAGCGGGGATGGGGATCCGTGGGACGATGCTGAGACTGAAGGGGCCCAAGGAGACACAAACCTGATCGGACAAGAACGGGAAGCGCCGCTGTTGTCTAATGGGCGTATTGGGCGAAGGAGAAAAGGAAGGCGAGGACAACGAGGAGTCGATGACGAGGACGACGTGGCGAACGTGAGGATAGCGAGGAGGAGCATGAGGACAACGAGGAGGAAGAGAAGCACAAGGACGAGGACAAAGAGAACGAGGGCGAGTACGAGGAGGAATGCGGAGGGCGACTGAAGGGGCCCAAGGAGACACAAATCCGCCGGCCTCCTTGCGGGGCCATCAGGCTCCGCGGATTGGGCTTGCTGCTCCCTGCTCCAGTTCCAGTTCTGCAGTCTCCGATGTGACAATTCTGTGTTCTGCTTCCCACTGTGCATTGTTGAAGTCCGTGCGAGGGGGGAGCCGAAAAGGGCGCTGGTTACCATCACCTGGGGGGGTTCCAAGAATTTCTGGGGGGTCCTGGGACACGTAGGAATACATGAGGTTCGCACCCCCGAAGCCATGATCCATTGTAAATTACGCCATGTTCGCACCCCCGCGGCCATGATCCCTTGTCAGTGACGCAATAGTTGCGTGCCTGAAGCCATACGCCCTCGCAAATTACGCTGTGTTCGCGCGCCCGAGACCATACTTCCTTTTAGATTATGCCATATTCTTGTCTCCGAAGCAATACTCCCTCGTGGGTTACACAATAGTTGCGTCCCCAAAGCCACGATCCCTCGTACATTACGCATTCTTCGCGTCCCCGAAGCCATTCACCATCGTAGAGTATGCAATGCTCGCGCTTTCGAGGCCACAATCCTTCACTAAAGACTCCCAAGAGGGTACAAGAGGCCCCCGAGACGGCCCAAGAGTGCTCCAAGGCTCTCAAGATTATCCCAAGACGGCCCAAGAGGCTCCCAAGGGGCCCCCAAAAGCGAACCAAGAGCACCCCCAGGAGGGGCCCAAGAGGCCAACATTCGCGATGTTCCTTGGGCTTTGTAAATGGATTTTGGCACGCTCGCCATTTCGGGCTTCCGACGCTCCAAAACGGCCCAAGAGGCCCCCAAAGACCGCCCCAAGACGGCCCAAGATGCTCTCAAGAGCGCCCTGGCGGTTCAAGAGGGCTCCAAGACGGCTCAAGAGACCCCCAAGACGGCCCAAGAGGGCCCCAAGACGGCCCCAAGAGTGACCCGAGACGGGGGACCCGAGCCCAAGTGGCCCCCGTTCGGAGTTCCGACGCTGCTTCACGACGACGCCCAAGCCTTACAACATAGCTCTTGCATACCCCATTCTCCGAGAGAGGGGGCCAACGGCAGGGGGCGAAGCCCTTACGGATAAATAGACACACATTCCAAGATCCCCCATCTATTCCATCGTTTCTGGATGTTCGTCTTCCCCTCCACTTCGTATGTTTTCCCGTAGTTTTGAGGGGCAACGGCGATTCTTTGTGTCTGTGTGTTCTCTTCCCTTCTGAACCACGACGGGGGGACACGGCGGAGGGGGCTGTGGCGGCGCAGAGGTGGGCTCCGATGCAGCTGGGCAGCGTCCCAGGAGGAGGAGGAGGAGGAGGAGGAGGAGGAGGAGGAGGAGGAGGAGGAAGAGGAGCAAGGGTACGGAGGCCCTGTAGGATCCGCAACACGCCGCCGATATCGCCAGCACAAGCTCGACTGAGGCCATTCTTGGGATGCTCGATGGCGACGAAGAGGTCATGCAGGGTAGGGGTCAGAGCGATGGCAAAGAGCGAGCCCGAAAGAGCATCTCCCTGGATAATGCCAGAACGAAGCCAGAACGCATGTACCATGTTGCCACAACATGACATGATCCCCTCAATAGCCGCGTACAGGATCCCCACAAAAGGCAAGCAGGGCCCCAGGGCACTCCATGCACTGAAGGACGAGACGTAGATATTCTTGGGGAGGACTAGGAAATGCATGTCCATAATCAAGAGCAAATAGAAGGGGGCACTCTTCATCAGCTTCGGGACGGCACGAGAAACCTCGGGCGACGACGTCCAGCTCCGCCACATTCATGGCGAAGTTGCGGCCCCGCATGAAGCCCCGCTGCGATGGTGGCACAAAGAAATCCAGAGGTTTTCGCAGCGCCGCGTTGACCGACGCTGTGATAATCTTGTAGCTCGTGTTCCTCAGGCCCAGGACCCTGACAGAGTTCACATCCCGATCACTTTCCGCAGCCTGTGTATCACCATCGCATTCACCTTTCGGCAGGAAAGCCTGCAGCGTGAGGCTCTCGCTCGCAAACGGGGCCACGCCCGAGAACATATCCAACATCACATCGTGTCAGGCTCTTGATCGTCATTGGGCAAGCATTTTCGCTCGCAAACCTTGGGATCAGGCTGATGCTACTCGTTACGTTCAAAGGTTCGTCAAACCCGTCGACTTCACCGAGTGCTCTCCCCCGTCGTTCTCGCTCATAAAAAGGATGCTGCTCGTGCTACCGACTCTGCTCCTGGGTGTGATCGCCTGTGCTATACAGCCTGGACTGCGAGTGACTTTGGAGTGGAGCTTCTCCAAGATGAGGAGGAAGAGGAGGAGGAGGAGGAGAAGGAGGAGGAGGAGGAAGAGGAGGAGGAGGAGGAAGAGGAGGAGGAGGAGAGGAAGAGATGATGATGATGATGATGATGATGAGGAGGAGAGGAGGAGGAGCAGGAGGGAGAGAGGAGGAGGAGGAGGAGGAGGAGGAGGAGGAGGAGGAGGAGGAGGGGGAGGAGGAGGAGGTGGACGAGGAGCAGGAGGAGGCTGGAATCACACAGGGCCAGATTCCGTGCGGGGCATCCCGAGGGCCACGGCGCAGGATGCGCCCGCGGAAGCCCGGCGTGCACGGCCACAGAAGGGCCGAGCTCTCACACGACATGTGCATCCAGCTTCTTGGTGAGGAGGAAGCGAAGGCGGTGAAGAAGAAGGGGGATCTCCTCCTCCTCCTCCTCCGCCTCCTCCGCCTCCTTGCCCTCTTCCTGCTGCGTCTGGTGTTGCTCCTCTCGCGACGGGCGGCGACGGAGAGGGAGGTGGGGAGCAACAAAGACATGGGGAGAGCGACACAGAAGAGACAAGACAGAAGAAGGAGACGATTGCAAAGACAGAGACGAGGCCGAGCACAATGATGAAGCTGAGCGCACATACATATGTACATATTCTAGAGGGGCAGAGTACAATAGAAAGAGTGAAGCAGAGCGAGAGAGAGAGAGAGGCAGAGAAAGAGAAAGAGAAAGAGAGAGAGAGAGAGATATATATATATATATAGAGAGAGAGAGAGAGAGAGAGAGAGAGAGAGAGAGAGAGAGAGAGAGAAAGAGAGACCATGGAGGTCTGAGCAAGCTCAGTTAAGGGCGTTCCCACGAGGAGGAGGAGGAGGAAGAGGAGGAGAAGGAGGAGGAGGAGGATGAGGAGGAGGAGGAGGAGGAGGAGGAGGAGGAGGAGGAGGAGGAGGTGGAGGAGGAGGAGGAGGAGGAGGCGGACGATGAGAAGGAGGAGGAGGAGGGGAAGGACGATGAGAAGGAGGAGGAGGAGGATGAGAAGGAGGAGGAGGAGGAGGAGGAGGAATCCCTCTGGGGGTCCATCCTAACCGTCTTTCGGGCCGCGTCCAGCCGTGGCGACGAGGGCCCAAGGCCAGCTCAAAATGAGAGGCAGCGGTGTGGGGAGGGACGCAAGGCAGGACCGACCAACGTCCAATCGGGAAAGCGGATAGGGTCGGTTGAAGAAGAAACAACGCCATAAACATAAACTTTTGGCGCTCCGCGCGGAGCGCCAACACATTTTATGTTCATGCATTGTTTCTTCTTCTAGTCGGAACGAACATCGGATCGGTCTGCATCGGCTCGGAGGTGGAAGCGAATCGAACCGGCTGCGCCCCGATTCGCAACTACGCCGCGCACGCGTCGGGCCGTATTGGACCGCCGGGAAATCGAGATCGGGTCGGAGATCGAGCCGGGTGAACTCGACATCCAGTTGGATCTGGGACCAGATCGATCTGGGACCAGATCGAGATGGACCCTGGACGGCTCTGCGGCAACTCATGATATTCTCCCATACCATCCTGTTGGCTCTTGCAGATCGACGCTGGATCTCACCTAATCGACGCTACATCGACGCTAACTCGGCGCTATCTCATCGACTACCATAGGCTAGTCGACGCCAGTGCGCTCCAAAGACGGAGTTACGAGGGTATACAAGGCTCCCATGATTTGCTACAGTGAGGGCGCGGCGGCAAGAAACCCTCGCAAGGAACCCAGCCCGGAAACCCGCAGGCGCGATATGCTTGTGGGGGGAGCCCAGAGCACCCTGAACGCAGCGGCTCCTTCAACGGCCACGGCAAGCCACCGCGCAGCGCGCGGAGCGAAGAACACCAGGGTACCCTGACGAAAAGCGTTCAGTTTCTTCATGCGCGCCCCACTGTACCGAACTGGAAGGGGACGGCGCAGAGGGGACGCGAGAGCGGCGGCGGCGGCGGCGGGACGCCGAGCGACGTAGCTGGGGGCGCCAGGCCCTCTCGCGTGGCAGCGGGTCGGCGGTGGCGGGTCGCGGCCCGAGCCAAGACAGCTGGCGGCCCAGTGCAGCGCGGGCGGGGAGGGGTCCCTCTCGGGTTGCCTCCGGGTCTTTCGGGGGGCCACCTCGGGGCGCTCGGGAGGCCCCTCTCGGGTTG